GTCTCTTCGGCCCTCCGTCAGCCGGCCTTGCCGCTGCCGCCCCGGTCTGGGGCTGAGGAGGCTCCTCGGGACCGAGAGAACCGTTGGGGGCCTTCAGGGGTTTTCGTGGTTTTATTTATTTGTGAGGTGAGGCAATGCTTCAGACCTGAGAAGTGCAGTGTGCTGGCAAAATGCTGTATCATTTTGGTCGCTAGCCAGCTGCTGCGCGTAAGAGCTGCGAGCTAATTGTTTGTTTAGTATTAGTGACACTCCCTATCTGTAGCATGTGAATATAGTCACAGCATCAGAATGGTATTTCCTATTTCTGGTGTTAAATGCACCACTTTGCAGCTGAGCTAACTTTCCCTGCCCTCTGAACCTCTCATTCTTCAGGTGCTCAGAGGAGATCAGGTGCTACGGTGGCTTAAAATCCGGTTGCAGGTCAGGAAGCCACTGTTAACAGAGGGCACAGACAACTGCGTTTTGTTTGGTTTCTGTTAAAAACATCACCTACCTTAATAAAACCTGTCTGGATCCTTATCTTTTTTGCCCAGGGCAGGCCAATGTCCATTTTCCTCTACTTACCAGGCATTTGAAGTACAACCGTGGTGTAATCTGAGTGAATTGGTGACCAAAGGAAATATTGACAATTCAGTTACTCACGATAGTCTATGGAGTTAGGGAGAATAGCAGTAGTGTTGGGGGTCTTGGTCTTCAAAGTCCACCTTGTTATTGTCAAAGTCCTAGCTTGTAGTGCCTGTACTCTTTTTCTTCATCTTTCCACCCCTTATTTAAATGTGCAGTTAAACCATTCCACTTCCAGTGGCTGTTTGGAGCTCAAAAGATTTCAGGTCTAATGTTGTGAAAGAGCCAGTGAAAGATGTTACACTCTGAAGAGACCACAGGAATCACTAGCTGAGTGGATGCTGAAAGAGCGTTGGTACACGTGCATCTGATCGCCGATTGCTGCAGCTTAGTTATGGGGCTGGGTTGTTTTTTTTCTAGGTAAGTCAACTTCACCCATAACTGTAGAGGTGTCGGTGAGCTCAGGAATACTGCCTACGTGCGTGCCCAGGAAAGTGTTTTGGTTACAGACAACCCAATGTATTAAGTTCCAGTTAGGTTAATGGCTTGATTCCTTAGCATATAAATACCGGTGAGTTTGTCTTGCTATGCTGATATGGATCCGTACCCTCTCTGTCAAGAGAGAACAGGAAAGGTGAAGCGGATCTCATCTGTGCTGTTATACAGCTATACGTGTTGGCAGATTTGCGTTGACGAAGCTCTCTGGTTCAGATACGGCCTCTGTTGGTATGCTCTTGGAGGGAGTTTCAACTGGTTTTTTTTTTGCTGTTTTGCTTTTTAGTTGCGTCTTTCACAGCAAGGTGAGTTGTGAGATTGTTTCTTTGCAGGAATAATTGCATCTGTACACTTCATATATGCCAGCAAAAGTATAATAATTAACAAATACATATTTTCAGCCAAGGTGATACAGTTAAGTCAGCAGAAGTCAGGTCTGTTCTACCATGGTCTCAAATAAGTATGGTAGTAACTGTTTACGGTTGTAGTAAGTGAGATTTATTGTAGTAAGAATTTTATGATTCCTGCTAAAGGTTTGATATGTCAGTACTGTTAAATATTTTCAAGTCATATCCAGATTTTGCTGTAGATACTATCTTTTCACAGGCGATAACAGAAAACTAGTATTAGCACTCCATGTTAAGAGTGTGTTTTTGCTATTTCAGGAAAAGCAGGCAACTCTTTGCCCTCTCTCATGTCACTTTGGTTAGCAGGACTTTGACTTACAGTAAAAGATGCTGGAGCTAAAACCATTAGCTGGAGAATATGAAGTTAGTATTAATTAATAGGTGAAGCTAATCATGTGACACTGAAGCTGTCTGAGGAAGTGGGAATTAACACTTCATGATGTGTTTCTAAATGTCATTCTTAATTGTATCACCAGGATTGCTCACCATCTGTCAGCCAGGTAGGAAGGTTATTTTTACATGTACCAAGGATATCGGTAAGAACATGAATGTGCTAATTCTATTTGGGGCAGGCATTTTTCAAAAAAAAGATTGAGTTAAACTGTCTGTTGTTTTCACAGATGTGGCCCTTGTTTAAGGATAGCCCCAGCTTTCAATGCTCTGAGTAACAAATATCCCCAGGCAACGTTTTTGGAAGTAGATGTGCATCAATGCCAGGTTGGTATTCAAAAACATGTTTTCAGTTGTAAGAGATAATGTAGAGAATGGGAAACTTGAAGAAAAACTGTTCAGACAGTATACTAAGAGTAGTATCCTGTGGCTGTTAACACATTTGGTGAATCACAAATAGCTGTATCATGAAATTCTCCAAAATCAGGATATGCACAAAGATGTGAACAAACAACACTTTTATTTGGAAAAGTGTTCTTGTAGTTACCACTGTGATGTCCTTCATTTAAGCAGTGTACAGACAGTGTAACAGTTCCTGCTGCTTGTACTATTTAGATAATACCGTTAAATGTAGAAGATAGCACCAATATGAATTAAAAAGAGTAAGTCTTTCCAAACAAATATTGGTGTAATTATTGAGCAAAATGAAAAATGCAATAAACTGATATGATTAGTGGGACTAGATTCCTCTCGAGTACTACTCAACTGTTTTTAACAAACAGTGTTGCAGGTGAGCTATTGATTGACTTAAGGGTTGTTAACAAAAATTAACAATGGTATGTTGAAACAAAGTGTCTTGAATTATTACAGATTATAATGGAGAGAGATGAACATCGAAGTGGTAACAATGTTTGCAAATGAGACTAAATTATGGAAAGTTTTGGAAAAACTACTATGGGTGCATACCAGATATGAATAGAAGTAGAAATCAAATGGAATTCACCTTCTACAGCAGCAGGCTGCAATTCCTGGGTGTGCATGAATGTGGCTTGGGAGAGGAACGAATGCAGGTGTAAAGAAAGCTTGTAAAATAAAAGTGTTAAATTAAGCTGTTCTCCACTTTCGAGAGTAAATGAGTAATATGATTTTTATCGTGTACCAACAAATTACTGAGAATGTGAAATCTGTTCAAAGAATGCCCGAATGTGTAAAGGGTTAGGAGGATCTGAAGAACTCAATTTAACTTAAAATTGTTGTCCAAGTTAAAGCTGTTTATAAAGTAACAAATATCATTTGTGATGTTTGATGTAGCTTGATTAATATCTAGTGTGTGCATTCCTGTGTAGGTGAGGCAAGCTGATGTTTCTGTCTAATGCTGGTAGTACTCTGTTAAGTAACGCTTGTAACTAATTTATGCATTCTAGGGAACAGCTGCTACCAATAATATATCAGCAACACCAACATTTCTGTTTTTTCGAAACAAAGTGCGAATTGACCAATATCAAGGAGCAGATGCTGTAGGTTTAGAAGAAAAAATTAAACAGCACCTGGAGAATGATCCTGGAAACAATGAAGATACAGATATCCCAAAAGGATATGTATGCATCTCTTAAGATATTTTTTAATGTTTTTGTAACTTGAATGTTTAAAAAAAATACTTGTTGTTTTCTAAACATACTCTAAGTCAAATAATACTACTTTAGGCAAAACTGCAAGTTCCCCATGGCTTTGAGGAGGTCACTTGTCTGGGTTTCCTTTTTCAGAAAAAATAAAAAAATTAACATGTACGTGTTTAATAAATATGATTATGGGATTGTAAAGTGTCTTAAGAAAAATCTCCACACATAGCCCTTAGTCATTAAAATAATGAATTTAATGTTTTATCGTTAACTTTTTGCTGCAGCTGCTTATTCTGCTTCTTTCTTCTTCTCAGACATCCCAATCTGTCTTCCTAAAACATCTTAAAGTGTAAAAATGTCCATGGGAAAAGACATTGTTAGACACGGTTGTCAAAAACATTGAAAAGTTGTTCTAGTTCTTCCTTAAGAAGTCCTCTCTTGTTTATGTGGTGGTAGGTTCGTTTGGGATTTTCCTTTTTTCTTCTTGCTGCCTATGCTTTCTTTAATCCTCTTTATCTCATCTCCTAAAAAAAAAAAAAAAAAAAAAATGAGGGAGAGATCCTGTTGACGACAGAATTAACCTTCATAACAGTTCAGATCCATCTTCTATGGCAGCTTGCCCTGAAAATAGGATGCCTTTGGGAGAGTATTGTTAGATAAACGATATCTCATGATATATTTTCTTTTGCCTAATTGCTAATGTTTGCAGAAGCGGATGGTCCTACAGAGTGTTCTCTTTAGATTTCTTCTTGCCTGTAAAAAAATGACAAGGCTATAAAAATACATTAAGTGAAAAAAAAGGCACAGGAATACTTGGAAAAGATTATGTGCCTGGTCTGAGTGGCATACAGTCATTACTTCTTGCTGATGGTGAATTTGCTTTCAGTTTAATGCTTAATGCGTATCATTTTGCTTCTGTAGGGGTACGGCATATCACTCCAGTAATCAGTGATCAGGCATTCACAGATAACTTTAAGTAAATAACTTGTAACTCTTTAGTAATTAGTAAAAAGAAAAGTGAACATTTCTAAAAATATGTTCTCAAACTGAATGGTTATTAAACCTTGCGTCAAAATCTCTCATAACTCTAGTTGGACTGTCACTCTTATGAAGACTTTAAAAATGGGTGTTCATGAACAGATTTATTTTCTGATCATTGCATGATTTGCCCATGTCTCCTAGGTAAATCGAAACTTTGTATACTTGAATTTTTGGTCAAAATTTCAGTAAGGGAGCAATCTGCTTAGATGTACTGGTGCTCTCAGGAAATTATTTTCACCGTGTTTTGGTATTTTCATGTTACCTCAAGGCAATTGTGCGTTGCAAATCATAAGCCTGGTTGACAGCTGTACTAACAAACACATGTAAATGAGAACTCTAATGTGACAAAACACTTTCCTAGGGCTGTTGTCTTAGGTGGTATTCTCCAAGCAATACTTGGTGTAATATTACTTCTTAAATGAGATTGTCTGTTATTCTACCAAAAGTATAAACACAGTTAGTTATGTGTTGTATTATGTTTCGCCTAAATCGTATGTCACAGTTCAGTGCCCCGCTAGTTGCTGTAGCGTGCGTGTTACTTTGTGTTAGGAAATCTAATACGTTAAGCTTAGCTGTGATGAGTACCTATAGAACCCAAAATTCTGTTAAATGCAAAACCAGGTTTCTTTGGAGGTGAAGTATTTTAAATTCATAGCTAACCGTATCCTATCAGGCAAATGTAAGTAGGGTGCAAATCCAGCTGAATATTTCTTATTTAAATAAACTGTGAGGGCACAGGTCACTTGAATTTTTTCAGCTACTTGTTGAGTGTTCCATGGCATGCATTGCACTTCACTTTATATGGAAACGCTTACATCTATAATTATTGTGAAATTCTCTGTGGAACTATGGGAATGTCAAAAGACAAAGGTTCAGCTTATTAGCTTTGGAGCCCTAAACACACTGAAAATCATTCAGATGGCAAGTTCAGGTCTGCTTAGTTAGATTGGTTTTGAGATGAACACACCGTCTTCTATTAAAAGTTAATCTTGTGAGAGGTGGTATCTTACCCCTACGAATCAAGTCCTGAGTATGTTCAGGGCTGTATGAGCGAAGCAGGAATTCCATTTGACCCATAAGTGGTAGGCTAAAATGCTGTTTCAGGATATCCTTGACCCAAACTGGACTGCTGTTGGCTCCAGGAAGGTATCCTTATTCTCTTGCGCAGCTCTGTATTCCTTATCTTTTCTTACCTTGTATCTACTGAGCATGTGAGTTGCAAGCTAAGCCCTCATTTGGATATTGGGAGGGGAATAAGTATTTTTTTTTGCTCACAGTACCGGAGTTGCAAGAGCTAAGGGAAGTGCCATAACAGGAAAAGAGTTTTATTCTCTCGGCAGCCTGTTTTTGGAGTCTGCTTAGACTGTGAAGCTGTAGCCTGAGTCGTTGTATGCAGTAATTGACAAGCTAGTCTTCGCTTTTTTCCAAGAGTGGTGTATTATTCTTTAGGACCTAATAGATGCCTTTAAGAAGGGTATTTTGGGTTGTCATCCTAGAAGTTCCTTTAGTTTCTTGTGTCTGGACAGTACTATGACTGTACACTGATCTTGAATTTGTATTGTTGTGGTGTGAGATGTTGATACTCTGTCTTCAGGCCTTAAGATATGAAATACTTGATTTTTAGTCTGGCTTATTGTGCTTCAATTGGACTTGGTTTATTTTAGTTGCCTGCGAAAAATTCTGGTTATCTGGAAATTGATAAAGATTATTCTACCTCTGCAATAATACTACCTTTCAAATGGCTTGGAGCCTGGATAGCAGTCTGCTTTAATCTGAGAGTGTGTATATGTTAAAGCTTTTAGTTGGACCCTTTACAGAAGAGCTGAGCAGTAAAAGAAACTGCTTCATGGTGAATAGTGTGGCTTCTGTTTTCTGTTGCTCTATGTTTTTACCAAAGTATATGGAGAAAGGAGTAGGAGAAGGTTTCATGAAGTTAATTTGTATACACTGCTGAAAAAGAAGTAAGGTAAGACTAGCTTTGTGTATAAAGCCTAGTAAGAGCAATAGTGGTGGTCTTAATGTTTTCTGCAATACATAGTATGTTTTTGGGGAGGCCCATTTCTGTTTTTTTTTTATGAAGTTGATCATAGCTCCAGTCTAATGTCAGTTTGTGTGTGGTGTGAGTTATGATGCCGTAGTCTTGTTTATCAAAAGAGTATCTGAAAATTCTCCTGTGCCCAGTTTCTTATTGTTAGAACGGCAAGCATGTGTTCCAGGGGTGCAGGATTTTGAATGGAGGGGAAAAATGTCGTTCAGTTATGAACAAGATACATCCAAGTACTATAGTACTTGTTTGTAATGTCTTTTGATATAAAATCCTGAGGTTTTCTTTGTCTTTTTATTTTAATGTGTTGAATGAAAAATTTCATTAATTCCAGTGCTTACTAATACCAGATGAGTTCATGGTGCACTTATCATGCACTCAGCAATGCTCTTGCTTTTACTTTCAGATGGATTTAATGCCATTTATCAATAAAGCTGGCTGTGAATGTCTTAATGAGAGTGATGAGCACGGATTTGATAATTGTTTACGTAAAGACTCTACCTACTTGGAATCAGACTGTGATGAGCAGGTACAGTAGATATTTTTAAGTGAGATATTTTCAACCATGGTCTGATCTGCAAGCATTTTTTTAAGAACTTGTCTACTTTATGTTGTTTCAGTAGTGTAAGTAAGAGTGGGAGAGGCTAGTAGGATGTAAGTAGAATTAGTACACAAAGGTTGTTGTAGCATTTCCAGTTTCACATCCCTTTATGTATGGAAAAGATTCCAAGTAGCATTTGCTGATATTTTGAAGTGACAGACTAGTGCATGTATGGAATGTAGTGAGGTAAGTACTTAATTCTGTTTCAAAGCTCAGACTTATTTCTAGTTAATTATTGTGCTATGTTTGTTTTTAAGAGTGAAGAAAATAGTATTTAACAGCAACGTTTTTCTCCACAGCTGCTTATTACTGTAGCTTTTAGTCAACCTGTCAAGCTTTATTCTATGAAACTTCAGGGGCCAGATAATGGTGAGTGAAGTGTCCATTTAATCCTGTCTTTGAAACCCAAGCTTTGCCCATGTTTAGCTGAATTTTCTAAAAATGAGACTGTTGTCCCTGGAACTTTTTACCTTACGAGAATCCCACAGCAGCTTCAGTAAATTTGTTATAAGTGAATTGCATAACCAATTATCTCACTCATTTTCACTGACCATATGCATGGGTATTTGGTATGACGCAAATAAAAGTATTTGCTGTAGTTTGATATGCTGCAAAGAGAAACTCACGTTTAATTCAAGAATTAATGTGAGAGCTACTGAAAGATATAGCTTAGTTTTTTGTGGTAATTCAGTTTGTTATAAAATTACATAAAGTATTCAGGTGTTATATGACACAGCAGCATTATTATCTTTAGGCTTTTTATTGGATTGTTTTTGGTGGAATTCTATCTCTGACATGTAGACAAGTAGTGCAGCTTTGGTTGTCCTTCAGTATCCAGGGTTGTGATGTAAGATTGGCAGTTAAGATGCTAGAACTATAGAAGCTCGTGCTTTCCTTGAGTGGTGTCTAGAGACTGTGCTAAGCAAGGGCTTCTCAAGCAGCATTTTGAAAATGTATTTAAACAATGGAATACCACTCGTATTTTAACACAGGGCAAGGTCCAAAGTACATAAAAATCTTTATCAACCTTCCTCGATCTATGGATTTTGAAGAAGCAGAAAGAAGTGAACCAACTCAAGCCCTGGAGCTGACACCAGATGATATTAAAGAAGATGGTATTATCCAGCTTCGCTATGTAAAATTTCAGAATGTTAACAGTGTAACTGTAAGTAAAGTTTCTGTTCTGAGGTCTGTGCAGGCTGAAAACTTCAGAGGCTTTTAAAGCACTGTACATGTTTATTGATTTCATTGCAAATGTTCTTACTTTCTCTTTGCTGATTGCATACTGTATGTTTGTGGTAAAAGTATTTCAGGAATTTAAGGTGAGACAAGGTCACGTGTATGCCATGTCTCTTTTAACCTCATGTGAGACATAGGGTCCGCTTTCACCTCTTCATGAGCTGGCCTGCTTGTTTAACACAACTTGTGTTTTTTCCAACATACCTTCTTGAAAGGCATCTTGTCTTTGTTTGAAGAGTTGAGGAGACAAGAAATCCAGTTTCTCAGTGATCTGATTGCAAAAATGACAGATTTCTCTGAGTATCAAGTGAAGTACTTGCAATGTCTTTAAACTCAGTACCTGCTCTGTGAGGGTTCTTAAAGGCTGTAATCAAATCACCTTTGTCTTTTAATCAGCTCCCTAATTCTCTTGCTGTAAGAGACTTTCCACAGACTTCACATAGGGTTTTTGACTCTTAAATGCAGGTGCAGTTTCCCCTCTTCCGTTTTAAGAATGCATGCTCTAGCGCCATATGTGCGATGACTAAATCGATGCTGGAATTGCTTTATGCTTGGCATCATCCTGGTGCTGTGCTTTCCCCGTTTCCTGCAGTTATTGTGTTGAACTATTTTTTCCAGTATGACCCCCGAATTCTTTTCTATGGAAATGCTTTTCATGGCCTGAATTATGCATTTGCAAATGTATGGACTTAGAGCTAGTTGAATTAAACTATATTTTAGGGGGCTGGCCACAGCTGCTTATGAGTTATTGGTAACTCCAAAACATTGATCCACCCTCAATCTTTTCATCGTGCCTTTTCTTCTGTCAAAAGGTGTCTGGTAAACCTCTAAATCCCTATTTGTGGATTGCATTTTAGATCAGTCAGCTACTTTCATGTATAGCAATGTTTTAGTAGCAATTATTTTTAAGGTAATGGGAGGCAAACCTAAATAACTCCTTTTCATGTCTGTTATTTTTATGGAGTTACATTTGTGACCAACTTTATCCTGCCCCAAATGAAATAAGATCGGTCACATAGGCTTATATTCTACAAAGCTGTGCTGACAAGTACAAGTTATGTATTTGTCCTTTAATAAAATCCTGTGTCAGCTTTAGACAGGATGATGTGCAAACACTAGACAAGTGAGAAGGTAATTAAATAGGTGTTCTGCTTGTTTGTACTCTTTGCATGTGCACACTGCAGTAGTACTCCCCTAGTTTCCTAGCTAAACCTGGATTCTGTATTTAAGACTTCCTAAAAATGAGATGGCCAGTGTTGTGAGTGAGCGGTTTAGGGTTGCTTAAAGAATCACCATCAAAGGTATTAACAGAAATGATTTTAATACGAATTTATAAAAGTGTGACTTAAAGTTTGATGGCGAGGTTCACTCTGTTACTTACTACATGAATGGGATATATGTATATACATATATATACACACATATATGTAGGAAGTCAAGTTAAAATCAAGCAAGAATGATTTTCACAGAGACAAGAGATGACAAGGGGTAAGGGAGACCCTCCAGTAGAGTCACATCGAGTCACAAGGTTCAGAGCGGACCCCTTTGCTTTGTGAACTCCTTCTCAGAGAGGAGTCTAGGTGCGGCTGGATCCACTCCTAGTCCCAGAATTGGTCAGCAGTTTATATCTAAAGGATTTAGCAGCACTTAATTGTAGACTAATTTAACATTTACAAAATAATTGAATAGGATTTACTATAATCATACCAGTGACTTAAGTTGTCATACAGTATTTGAATCAATTCACATGCGCATGCACGCAAAAAGAGATAGACGTATGTAAGGATAAATATATATATACTTGTTAAAAATTCCCCTTGAGTTCAGTGACATACTCACTTCAGATGCCTTGTTGTTTCTCAGTGGAGGAGGGTTGAGCCTGGAGAGGTGCAGGGTTTCAGCCCAGGCTCCGTCATCTGCTTTCAGCACCAATCCTCCGAACTTGGCGAACTTGAGAGCCTGGCGAGCTCTGAGAAGTGTCCTGCTCCAAGGGAGATGCTGGTCACAGCCCGCCGCGGTCCAGGAGAGCTCCGAGGGCCTCACTCAGGACCGCTGTGTATCGGTTAAAGCCCAGGCGAT